CCAAAGATAAAACAGTACAAAAACATTCCCTTTGTTGACCTCTCCAACTTCTGTGTGTTCTCCTGGACTTGCAGGTGTGAAACGGGTGTGAGGCAAACAGTCTCCAACAGCATGAGTAGAAAGTCCTAGTGGATGATGCAGGAGACTCCTGAATAGTTTATTCGACCAGCTTGGGATACCACAGGGCAAGGAACCATTCCCACTCATATGAATATATATAAAATTGTTTGTTCTTGCTGTTGGGATCTTGAAGGAATTCACACACAGATCAAATTATAAAGAGGAGTCCTGTTTCTCTGGATATGATGTTGCTTCCAGCAGAGGCAAAAACCCAATGACAGTGCAGCCAGAGTTATTTAGCTTCACTTCACTCTCCTAAGTCCAGTTTCAGTTTAACTTTAGCTCACGTTTCAGAATTACTTTTAAAAAAATCAAAAAACTAATTTAAGAAAATAATACAAAAGATATAAAACTGACAGAACAAAAGTTTAATGAAGCTGTTAAATGATGTAATTTAATATTTGTGTTACAATGATACATCCAGAGACATGAACATTAGATCAGAAGTACTAAGAAAAAAGTGCTTGGGTGAATGAGACAATTGTGCAAAGTACTTTGAGGACTCAGGTAAAGTAGTGCTGTATAAGAACCAGTCCATTCACCATGCTTTATGTGCATGAGCACTTTTAAGAAAAAAAGTGTTGCCTGGTAGCCACTACAGAGAACAGCACACGGACCCTCTGACACATACAGAAAGAGGAAGTAGGACTATTTTAATTTCTGTCAAACTGCTGCTGATCTCATTTCAGCCAGCTGCAGGATGGAGGGAACATCTGTACAGATGCTGCTGGGTGAGTCCGACCTGCTGGATCTGTGTTGGTGTCTGAATTCTGAGAGATGATCACAGTTATTAAAGTTCATTTCTCTTTTAGTTTTGCTCTCACTGCTGGGCTGCACAACAAACCAAGGTCAGTCAGCATCTTTTATCAAATGTTATATTTTTGAAATCCTGAAGACTGTAAGTAATAATTATAAGTAACTTCTTTCTTAAGGAGTGATGACTAAGGAGGATGTAGAAAGCATTTCATTTGTAGATGATCATGCAGTTCTTACAGACATCTTGCTGGTCTAGTTTTCATTAACAAGTAGAGGAAAGGAAAAGAATATGACTAAACATTTTATTTAAGTCCTCACAGCTCGTCTGACTGTGAATCCCAGCAGCTCTCAAATCTTTGAAGGAGACTTTGTGTCTCTGAGCTGTGAAGAAGATGACAGCTCTGCTGTATGGACTCTGAGGAGAAACACAAGCAAAGAAACCAGGACCCAATGTGGAGTTAAGTGGGGGAAATCTACTGGGAATTCCTGCAAAATCAGCTATATCTTTCCATGGCACACTGGCGTTTACTGGTGTGAGTCCAGAGAGGGTCCCATCAGTAACATGGTTAACCTGACAGTCACTGGTAAGCTGAGTGTGTGGAGTTAGTGTTGATGAAGCTGTGTGTAAATGGATGAAATGCTGTAGTTTGTCTCTGTTGAGGTGGATCAGTGATCCTGCAGAGTCCTGTCCTCCCTGTGATGGAGGGAGATGACGTCACTCTGCTCTGTAAAACAAAGACCACTCCCTCCAACCTCCCAGCTGCTTTCTATAAAGATGGCTCCCTCATCAGGAAGCAGCCTACAGGTCACATGACCATCCAGCATGTTTCCAGGTCTGATGAAGGCCTCTACAAGTGTGACATCAGCGGTCATGGAGAGTCTCCATCCAGCTGGATCACTGTCACAGGTGAGGAGCATCACTCCTTTTTTTAACCAATAATTGCCCTATTCCACTAGCACCTATTCAGTTCTGCTCGACTTCCTCAACTCGAATTTTAGGGTTTTAGATTCTGGTGCCCTGTGGTTTTTTTAGTACCTGCTTGGCTTGGGTTCCAAGTGAACTGAGTCACGTGCAGTCTGTGAGGTCAACAGACTGCATGCCACTTGAGTCTGCAAGAAGCCATTGACCGAGCAGCAGGTACAGTGGGGCAAAAAAGTATTTAGTCAGCCACCGATTGTGCAAGTTCCCCCACTTAAAGTGATGACAGAGGTCAGTAATTTGCACCAGAGGTACACTTCAACTGTGAGAGACAGAATGTGAAAAAAAAATCCATGAATCCACATGGTAGG